CTTGTTACTAATAGCTTCTTGTTACTACTAGTAAGGCACTTGTTACTCGTAGCGATGCACTTGTTCCTAGTAGCGTCCTTGCTCCTACTAGCGATGCCCTTTGCTCCTAGTAGCGTCCTTGCTCCTAGTAGTAAGGCCAGGAGCCCCTAGTAGCGTCCTCCCATCCAGGTATGGTTGTGGGAAGCATGCGGGTGATTGCCCTGGTTTTTGCGGTGGCGGCAATGCCTGCTGCCGTTGGCACGCGCATCACGACCCGCCAGTGACTCGCTCATGGTGCGGTCATCCATGGGTTTGGCAGGGTTCCCATTTGCTGTGGAGATAGGGGCTTATATACATGGGCTTTTGGATCCGCATGTGTTTTAGTGGGCGCGTTGCACCCTCTTGTCTTCATTGGAGATCCTTGTAGATGAAATGATCAAATTGGATGAAGGAGTGCTTGAAGAGAGCATTAACCAGAAGCATAAAATCCAGAATGGAACCACTTTCACTTGTTGGCACCGAGTGTGTTCAGCGGAAAAGGCGTGCTTTCACTTTGCAGGTAGAAATGGTTTACACTTCTAATAAGCAAGATGAAACTTATTGTGTTCTTGAAATGAACCTTCTCTTGGAGCCAGCATGATCTCCCATGTGGCTGGCACTGTGGCAGGTCAAGAGGTAGACCTCAGGCAAGCAGAGAGATACAGAGAGTGTGTTTCATTTCATTGCAGAAATATAGTATTCTCAGACTGCAGTGTTGTCGTAGAGTAGCTGACAGATATGCAGTATGTTTTTGACATGATGGATATTAACTTTAACAGCCCTATATAAAAAAAGAACCACGTGCTCGCTCAGCTGGCATTGATGTCCGAAACCCCACCAAGTACCATGGCCAAATGACTTGTTAACATCTTAATCCGGTCCACCTATTAAAAACACGCCGGCCCCCCCTAATAAGGAGACCTCGGTCGCATTTTTTTAAATAGGGGGTCCCTGAAATCGGGGGTCCAAAAAAGGGTCACCTGGGAAGGGCTTCAAAACCAAAAGTGACCCAGGAAAACTTTAAAAACAAAAAATCCTTTACTAAACTCATATCATAATTCAAAAAACCTCCAGATCGAAGGGTCTTCCTTTTCCCCTACCTAAACCTTTATTAGAATAGTGATTCATTAGACTAACAACTAAAGCTTTTGACAGGTGATGTCGCTGTGCCATGCGGTTTTGCGTGACCTCGGTGGAAAGTGCGTTTGCGTGAGTCCGTGCCATTGGGGGAAGGAAAGCCTGCTGGTGTAATCATGGTGGATAGACAGGGTGGACAGAGGTTTTTGGAACCCAATAAAAACAACTCCTCCAAAATCGGCCATGTTGGTAGTTTAGTAGCGGCTGAAAGGGCGGCAATTTAAAGACAGACATAAACAGTTCTTAGGGGTTTCTGACATGAGTTTGTTTCAATAGGGGCACGCTTTTTAATAGTCACTCGGGATTAGTTGACTGGCAGTTGGTGACCATGGTGCATGGCCGCCGGGCCATGTCCAGGCCATGTTGCGGTCAGTCCAAAGCCGAACAGCAACATCCGAGGAATGCCGTAGCGTCCGGAGGTGGCCTGTGGTGGTGACCCCAGAGACGTGAAGGATGTCGAAGCCGGGCAGAAAACACAAGGTGGAATACGGTCATTGATAGTGTACAGTATACATTGACATGTATATCGATGATTATGGAATATTATGGATGTGTTTCTATATATATATATGTTTTCCAGGTAATCCTCTTCCAAATGGTTGTCAAAAGAATTGTGTCTCCTTTTTGTTGTTAGAAAAGGCTCTTGGATAGTTTTTTAACCTGCAGAGTCTACATGGACCAGTGCGTCGAAACATGTCGAGGCAGAAAACCATTCCTTGGCATTTGGCTCAGGCTGCACAAAGCAGACCTCGAAAGGAAAATCAACATTTTTTTGACTCCAATCCGTTTCTTCCAGCACCATGGGCTCTGGAAGCAGCGCACATGCCAAACAAAACTCCAGGAGACAACGCAGACCCACACGATCAAAGCTGTTTTGGTGCTTGGACGTCAGCGAACACGTTGAAGCGAGGGCGTCGTGTTCATAACGTTGGTAACGTCACCAGCTTCGGCGTCTCCTTTTGCGGCAAAGCTAGTGAACCGGATTGGTGGGAGAACATCCCCAGGTGTTGCCAATTCGGACTCACTAGTCCTCACCAAAGAGACCGTCACATTTTGTTGACCGGTGGTTTTGTTGTGGTTTTTGACCAGGGCAAGCAGACCTGAAGACGGTCTCACTGTTACAAGATCAAGTTTGATGCTACCCCGATGCTACCCCATGTTTGACTTGATTGTGGGTCCAATTTTTTATTTTGTATAGGACAGAGTTCGTCCTCCAAAACAGGGGCCACCCAGGTTCTAATGCAATACCCAATTTTTTTGTTAGGTTTATTGTGCAATACGGTTTCAACATGTTTCAACACTCGAAGTGCCGTTTTGAGGGGTCATAGTGCTGCCCAAGAAATCACAGCCTACTACTCATTCGGACGTGTTTGTTTCAATTATTTTTCAACATTGTCATCCAAACACGTTTGGCCATGATGGCAAACTAATGGACCACTTCATAGGTTGAGATCCATACCGGCCCAGGATTGAGGGCGCTTCAGGCTAATCATCATGTTCCAAAGCACCGCACTCGTTGGAGGAACCAGGGGAGCCGATCCAGCCAATCTTCGAAGAAGAGCCATCAGATGTCTCTTGGTGGCAGTAGGTTTACCTCAAGCGATGCTGTCAAGAGTCAAGCATTGATCAACTTATATATCATATATACATTATGCAAATGTCACGACATCATGGTCCATCCACCGATCCTTTAGTGCCCGAGCACCCCCCTAGGTGTGAGGAAATAGGCCGCCGTCCGCAGTTTTGCATGGCAGCCGGAGCCTGGTTCCTTTTTCTTCGTTGAGGTTCGGCCTGAGCCCCGCGGCACATGGCTGAACGTGGGATCCAACGGACCCACGATGGTGTGCCAAAGTTTGATGGCACACCGGAGCTGATGAGTTTGTATAGGGAGGAGGCAGTGCAATTCCTCATGACCTTCGAGCACAGGAAACGATACCTGGCTGGACCAAGGTTGTTGAAGGAATTGGAAGGCACCGCCAAGATGTCGGTGCGCACCATGACCCTGAGAGATCCGCAGTGGGTCTCCCATCCTAGGGGGGTGTACACCCTTTTGGACCACCTGGAGGCCACAATTGCCCGGCCGAGCCTTCCAGAAGCCTCTCGCTTCGTCATGCGCTTCTTCTACAACCTCCAGCGGAAGAAGCAAGAGACGATGACCAGCTGGATCACGAGGCACTCGGAGGCACTTTGGGAAGCCTCGCAGAGCCTTCGCAAGGTCCAAAAGGAGTTCGGAGCTCAGTCAAAGCCGGGGTCATGGTATCAAGGTACCCCAACCATTGGCAGTGAACATGGTGGCAGTGTGAAGAGTGAGGGTCATCATGCCGCACCACGCTCACTGCACAGCCAGACACAGGTGGGTACTCCTTTCATGGACAATGGTCTTCTTCGGGAGGACGATGAAGATGATGGGGTGTGGCAGGAGGCTCACCATGGCTGGTGGGATCATCATGAGGGTTGGGATTGGTCGCATTGGTCACACCACTCCTGGAAGACCCCTGAGTTTGAGCCCCCTTCCACTTGGGACACCTCCTCGGAGATCTTCATCCCAGAGTTCTTGGCAGGCTTCTTGCTCCTGCATCGATCAGGCCTGGACACTCAGGAAAGGGCCAATGTCCTCGCAGCCTTGCGAGGCGAATTCTCAGTGACCTCCGTCGGCCGTGCGCTCCGTGAGCAATGGAGTGATGAGGACCTTCTTCGTCGCGACCGCCTCAAGGGCGGAAGTGCGATGGTGGCTGAAGATGATGAAGCAGAGCTGGAAGCTCTCATGGCTGAGGACCACTCCGAGGTTCTGGAGGGCATGGATGCCGAGGCCAAGGAGGCCTACTGGGCAGAACAAGAGCGCATCGAGGAGGCCATGGCGGCCATTACGGCCCAAAAGACCACCTTGAAAGAGGCACGATGGAAGCAGAAGCAACTGAAGCTGGGCAGGGGGTATTTTGCTCCCAAGCCCTTTCCTGCGAGGAATGCTGAGGGCTCCAAGAAGTGCTTCAAATGTGGTGGTCCTCACCTCATGGCACAATGCCCGCAGAGGGCACAACACGCCAAGGTGGCCCATGAAGAAGCCGCTGAGATCGCCTTCACCACGTTTGAAGAGGCTGGACTCTTGGGGGAAGAATGCCATGAAGCCATCAGTACTGAGCAAGCTCTTGAGGGATGCATGGGCATCATCGACTCAGGAGCCACCTCATCTTTGGGCTCCGTTGAGGCACTTGAGAAGATCATGCTGAACAATATTCAGCAGTCCGGAGATTCCAAAATGGCCATCGACCTCCAGCGTCGTCCTACCTTCAAGTTCGGCAATGGCCAGAAGAAGGATTGTCTCTCCACCGTGACCGTTGGAGTGGGCGCTGGATGCAAAGAAGGGCACATGGAGATCCATGTGCATGATACTCCAGGGCAACCCGTCTTGGTCTCTCGCAAAGCACTCAAGGCTCTTGGGGCTGTCATTGATTTTGGCGAGAGCAAGGCGATCTACACGAAGGTGGATCCAAGTCAAGTCGTGCCGCTGAAAGAAGCTGAGAATGGACATTTGCTGATGCCCATCACCGGCAACATCTTGGCTGGAGCCACCAAAAGGGGGGCACCTTTTTTGTCATTAGATTGTGAATAGGGGATTCGCTCCTTTGACGCTATGGACGGAAAGAAATCCGGTCAAGGGAGTCTGTTTGATTTGCACTTAGAATCTAGGGGTAGTGATTCTGTTTGTGCAGGGGTTTGGGAGAAAGACATGACAACATGTCCACAGTGCTCACTTCTTTCGATGTGTGAGCAACATTGTCAGTTTTGCCAGGAACGTATTGAAGTGAGTGATACACACACATGTGCACACACAGCATCTCTCCTGCTCAAAATCGGAAGCCCGTTGCCTTGCAGTGTCTCCTCACCGTGACCGGCATGCCAGCTCCAACCACGAAGGCCGATTGGATTGCTCGCCTGAACGAGGCGGGCATTCATCCACCCAAAGAGTGGAATCTGATCCAGATCAAAGCGGCTTGGGCAGAGTACACCGAGTCAGTCAAGGAGACCAACGAGGCCAACATGCACACCGAGATTGCAGCCATGAAGCGGGCATCCCGCAAGAAAGCGTCACTCCAGGAGTTCCTGGAGGAGAATCAAATCACCTTCAACAAGACCGACACCATGGCAGTTCTTTTTGCCAAGGGCGAGGCCGCGATCATGAAGAAGTTTCCACCAACCCGACAGGAGAAGGTGGGCTTTGGCAAACATGCGGACCTCACCATGCAAGAAGTGACTCGGGATCATCCCGACTATGTTCGCTGGTGCCGCACAACAGTGGCGGAGGCAGAGATGCCTTTCTGGCGCATGGAGCGTCTCGTGCAGTACGACAACAACCTCAGTCATCAACCTTCCAAGACAATACCGAAGTCTTCCAAGGAGGTGGCACCAACAGCGTCCAAGAGCGGCTACGCTCCGGCACCGCCACCCCATGTGTCCAATTGGGATCAATTGGAAGCCATGAAGGCGACGGCCAAGGCCAAGGCGCTGCAGACAGCAGCGGCATCACAACCAGTGATCGACATGGACTCCGACGAGGAGAAGGTTCGTCTCCGCCAGAAGATTGCTGCATTGGAGGCCGAGAACAGCGACCTGCATCGTCAGACAGCTCGCAACAAAGGCCGTCGAGAGATGTGAGCGAGGCTAGCGAATCGATCGTCCCGGAGGAAACTGCTCAGCTCCTGCATCGGCTTTGGGGACCCAAAAACAATATGTACAGCAAAACCTGGACTTCACTTACTCAGTTCAAACGACCCCTATTGATGGAGTTGGCTTGTTATGAGGACAGTGTTTTATCTGGAGAAGTTGAAAAACGTTTTGGTGTTGGGTCAAGTATAAGGCTGAGTGATTGGAATGGTGCCAATCTAGAGACTCCGGAGGGCGTACAGTTTGCCATCAAGATGCTCCGTAAGCATCGACCAGTTCATCTCTGGATCAGCTGTGTTTGTGGACCTTTTTCTCCTCTACAACGTCTCAATCAAAGAAACCCTCAACAAGTTGAACAATTGCAGGACAACATCGTGCAAGAATTCAATACGGGGGTGCAATACAAGTGTTGGAAGAGGCAAAACGGCTGAAAACAGAGGTGCACTGGGAGTTTTCTCAGAAGTGCGAAGCGTGGCAACTCCCAGAGATTGTGGAGCTGATCTCACGTCACAAGCTGGAAAAGGTGAATTGTGCTGGATGTGCAGTGGGACTTCGGACAAAAGATCAGAAGAAATTGTTGTGCAAAGCTTGGACGATAGCAACCAAAAACTCCCACCTTCTACAACATATGAACCTCCAGTGTCAAAAGAATCATCCCAAAGGAAAGTGCGAAGCCGGCGAGACAGCACACACAGCGCGGTACACAACAGTTTTTGCAAAGAAGGTTGTAGACAGTCTTTCCATGTCAGAAGTTTGGTCACAGACAGTTCAAGAGCTGCAATCGCATCTCCCTGAGGACCTCGCTCTACCAGCAGAGGCTGCACCGGAATCCGAGAGTACAGTGCTATCTCAGCAGGAGAAGGCAGAAGTGGAACGCAAGATACAACACATACATCGGAGCTCCGGACATTGTGACATGAAGAGTATTGTGAGGGCTTTGGAACGTCGGGGCTCACACAAAGAGATTGTTGACATTGCAAAGACTTGGAAGTGTCCCACATGTGCTGACCGCAAACGCCAAGATCCTCGACGATTTGTGACACTAGAGGGCATACCAAACAAAGGGGAGGTGATGGAGATGGACATCACAACCTTCATGCACCCAGTACACAAGAAGAAGGCAGACATCCTTTTGATGGTAGATGTGGGTAGTCGCTTCACAGTGGGTCGTGTTTTACCTCGGGGCAACTGGGAAGAGATTCAAAAGTCATTAGAAGAGCTTTGGATTCCCTATTTTGGAAAGCCAAAAACCATCCGAGTCGACCCTGCTGGAGTGTTTCTCAACAAACAATGTGATTCCTATTTGGCTGACAAAGATATATTTTTGGAGGTCATTCCAGGAGAAGCTCATTGGAAGTTGGGAATCGTTGAACAAACCGGAAAAACCATCAAGGGCATGATGGAAGCAGTAGGGGATGATTTTCCCGATGCTCAAGAAGGCACCCTTTTGGCACAGTGTTTGTGGGTGGCGAACTGTCGGGAACTCTACAGGGGGTTCAGTCCCATGCAGTACGTTATGGGGAGGTCGCCTGACCCAACCACAAGAACATTTCATGATGATCGGGAACTCCCTCTTCACCCTCAACTCATGTTGGACAATGGTTTTCAGGAGGAAACCCAGTTGCGGCAGACAGCTGAGAAGGCCTTCTTGGATGAGCAAAACAAACGCCGACTGGACCGGGCAGAGCGCATGGGCCATCGGGCATACAAACATTTTGTTCCGGGGGATTTGGTCTACTACTGGAGAAACCAACTTCCACCTGAAGACCGTACCAGCTTCAAGAAGGGAAGATTTTTGGGGCCAGCAAGAGTTCTAGCAACAGAAACACGTAATGATGATGGGGTACTTCGACCTGGGGGAACAGTTTGGATTTTTCGAGGAGGCAAGTTGTTGCGGGCAGCACCCGAACAACTCCGACATGCAAGCCAAACAGAAACCTGGATTGAAGAGTTGAGACAACCGGTTGAACTCCCATGGACAATTACAAGTTTGTGCCAGACAGCAACAAAGAAAATTTTTGATGACATTACAGGAGAATGTCCTACAGAGGCTGAGTGGCAACAAATCCTCGAAAATGGGGATGATGAGATGGTGGGAGACAGTCAGTATGAGGAACGAGAAGTTCTGGCACCTCGTCGTCGACATGATGAGAAAAAGCCTCTGAATGAACAGGAGGCTAAGCGCCAGAAGGTGCTTGTGAAAAAGGGGACAAAAAGACAAGAACTCTCTGAGGAGGCCTCAGGAAGTCGGAAGAAAGAAAAGTCAGAAACCAACCTCATCGCCTACTATGCCAATGTTGCCAAGAGACAAACCATAGAGATTGAGATTGACATCCCAGACTCCCATCGACAGTGGAAGCTTTTTCAACGTTCACCTGAAGCGTTCATTGCAAGCAAGCTGAAACGCAAACAAGTGGAGGTGAGAGAGAAAACACTGACATCAGAGGAGCTGATACAATTCTCAAAGGCTAAGAACAATGAGGTCAAGAACTTCATCTCGGCACAATGTTTTCGGGCAGCAGCTGACATCATTCCCAATGAGTCGGAAGTGGTGGGCATGCGTTGGCTTTTAACCTGGAAATATGATCCAAAATATGAAGGGGGCCGCAAAGCAAAAGCAAGAGCTATCATCTTGGGATACCAAGATCCCAACTATGAACAGCACAAGACCGCGGCACCAACCCCAAGCAAGGCTGGACGACAACTTTTCTTTCAACTATGTGCCTGGAAAAAGTTCCACATCATGAAGGGTGACGTCAGTGGGGCCTTTCTTCAGGGGCAGGACATGGAGGAGGCAATTTGGTGTCGCCCTGTCAAAGAAATTTGCCAGGAAATGGGGGTAGCCGATGACACTCCCATGCTACTGACAAAAGCAGCATATGGTTTAGTTCAGGCACCGCTACAGTGGTACCGGTCAGTTTGCACAACCATGGAAAGCTTGGGATACCGTCGGTTGATTACCGAACCATGTTGTTGGGTGTACGTTGATGAGCAACAGGAAGTGCAATCTATCATACATGGTCATGTCGATGATTTTGTTTTTGGTGGCCACAAAAACAATCCAGTACACGAAAGATTGATGGAAGCACTCCGACAATCCTTTTCTTGGGGCACTTGGGAGGAACAACAGTTTGAACAGTGTGGCATTCTGGTGACCCAACATGAGGATTTCAGCATCACCCTCAACCAACAAAGGTTCATAGAAGAGATTGAGGAAATCCACATCAATCGAGATCGAGCACGACAACCTCAACTAGCTGCAAGCGACTCTGAGAAGAGCTGTTTGAGAGGAGTGTTGGGGAGCATTTCATGGCTATGCGGACAAACCTGTTTTCTATTTTCTGTGGACACCAATTTCTTGATTTCAGAGATCCCGGTCGCAACAGTTGAAACAATCAACAAGACAAACGCACTGGTTCGTTCCGTGAAGAAGTGGAAACACCAAGAATATAAGATTCACAGTTTTGACAAAGAGGCACAACTCTACATGGTAGCTTGGGCTGATGCAGCATGGGCAAACAGGCCGAACGGCAAAGATTCAACAGCTGGTGTGTTTATTGGTATGAGTGATGAGGGACTAGCAGAGGGTCTCGAAAGAAACATATCACCAATACACTGGAGAAGCTCAAAAATTGAGCGAGTGTGCAGAAGCCCGGCCTGTGCCGAAACTTTGGCCAACACAGAAGCAGAGGATGACCTTCTTTATCTACGAGTTCTCTGGAGTGAGATGTGCGGTCAACCACTTGACCCACGCCTTCCAAATGAAGCTGCAAGATATATACCAGCACTTCAAATCACAGACTCCAGAAACCTGTACGACAAGGTTCACCGTCCTACAGTGGTGGTCAAAGGAGCTGAAAAGAGAGCTGACATCGAGGCAATCTCACTGCGTGATAACCTTGAAGAGTGCAACACAAAGCTGATGTGGGTACATGGTGGTGCAATGATCGCCAACAGCCTCACCAAGTGTTCCGAAAAGCATCAAGCAGTGATGTACACGACCCTTGGTTTTCGTTTTCGCATCACCTGTGAGGGAGATGGCAAATCCGAGAAGGTTCGACGTCGAGAAGGACTGAACCCACTCGACCATGCGTGCACAACATACAGTGAAGGACTCGTATCGGATCGTTCCTGGAAAGACTGTTAATTTTCTAGTTTGGGACCCGTGCAAATGTCACGACATCATGGTCCATCCACCGATCCTTTAGTGCCCGAGCACCCCCCTAGGTGTGAGGAAATAGGCCGCCGTCCGCAGTTTTGCACATTATATATATATATAGTTGTAGAATTATAGACACGGGACCTACAGCTCGGTGGATTGCTCCATCAGGTGTGCTTGTCAGCCGAAATTTGTGGCTGGTCTATGGGAACGGCTTTGTCAGCACAATTGCGAGCTTACAACAAGTGGGTTTATGGTTTTACTCATGTGGGTGTGGGTCAAAGGGACCCTACAAACCATGCAAGGTTGACGTTCCTCATAAATAGATTAATCTGTTCCATTTGAAGGGTCAACCAGGGTTGCAGGCTTTTGACCCATGCACAGAGAAAGAACACATGGCCTGAGCAGGTGCCGGGTATGGCAGGTCCAGGTCATGTGTTCCTGTTTGAGAAGATGCTTTCAGATCACCACCGGCATCGAAGACAAGGGGGGGAAGGTGCAAACGGGTGCAAAAGAAGACATGTACAGGAGGGTCGTTGGCGAACTAGGGTCATTCCAGGATCTGATGCAATTCGACAATGAACGACAATTGGAAAGTGTTTATAGAATCCGCCTGTTTTACCGGTAACCTTCAAAGCAGGAAGAAAAGCAGTTTGGGACACTGGACAGCAGGAACAGCGGTTGAAAACTGCCTTCAGAGGATTCACAGTGCTTTGTTTTACATGGAAGATTCGGAACCGTACCTTTCTGCGCCGCTCAGGATGGGAGTGGTCCCCTATGCTGGTTGTGGCGGTGCTTCAGCGTTGTCTCGCTTCAGTGTCACCTGTCCGACGAACCGCTTTTTTGTCGCAGTGGGCGGCTTGTTGGTGAAGCAGGTGACTCAATTCAGTGCATACACCTGATGTAGACTTTGGGATAGTCATGACAGAGAGGAACAAAGGTTGAAAAACTCCCACACACTGGACGAGCAGACCTAATGACTTTTTCCCTTCGTCTTCCGAGTGGAAAGCCACCGAGTGGAATCACAAAAAGCAAGTTCCTGAACTATTTTATTTTAATGATTTGTGGTGTGTCTACGACCCCGCACCCAACCTCGACTTGGTGCATAGAAATCGAAAAAGGTGGGAGGCCATTTCCGCTCCACTTCCAGGACCAGACGCGAACCTCAAAAGGCTCCAAAGCCTCTGCCCGGAGCCGTAGCGCCTCGCGGCCGCCCAATTCAGCGACCCGCTCTGACGCGGCCATGCTGGCGAGGAAGTCGACCATGTCGCGGAAGCGCTTTGGCGAAGAAGTCGACCAGTGGTGGGCGATGTCTTTTTTGGACGCGACACGTGGAGCACATGGATGTCTTGTGTCTTAGATAAGTGCTTGATGGCCCTCTATTTCTCCAACTTGTTCAAGTCCCTTAAGCTCAACAGTTTGAAGATGTTTGAAGAGCTTCCATGGCATTTGTTCGTCTTTTTGGTCCGTGTTTTGCCACGTGCGTGTTCCACCACGAGGTCCATGAAGTCGGTGACCTTTGGCGCCGATGAGGCGAGACGTGGGTGTTCTCTTACCTTCGTTCAACCTCAAAAAGTGGATTGCACTACAAGTTAGACTATAACACTGACAGTAGTACTCACAGTTACATACTCACAGTTAGGCAGGACACATTTGTATTGGATGTACGGTTTTGGAAAATCTCTATAGAGGCTGCTTGCTGGTGGTTTCGGGTCACAGGTTTTGGAAGGAACACATTTAAAGCTATTGTTTGTACAGTGTTTTGTTATTGTTAAAACAAGCACCAAATGCACCAGGGGTTGAAGGATTGGATCATGCAAGGTTCTATTAGCCTGAAACCTTTACTGATGAACACGTGGCAAGGCTATTGACATTTATAAAAATTAACATTATATAAATATATAATACACATAACATATATATATCACAAAACACCTACCAAGGTGTCCGACCCTGCGGACCAGGCGGCCTTTTTCCTGCGATGCCTCGAGTCGCGAAATGGCCTTCGGACGAATGGAAGTGCACGACAGCCCTGCGAGTGACTGGTGGCAGACATGGCCAATTGACATATATATATATATATGTATCATCCCAGTATAGACCCCGTCCAGTTTCAGCATGATTTTGTTGCATCAATTCCTTGAATTCCAATGTTTGTAATTCTTACTCCTTTAGCTTCCAGCTGTTTGGGAGCAGCATGTATATAGTGGGCAAAACAGATTTTGTGATGCCCGATCCCGGGCCACATGTGAAATAATGACGAATATATGTCATGAGAAAACCGGAGGAACATATCAGATTTGACACGCTGTGCTACTGTTGCATTCACAGGCGGTGGGGACAGGGAAAACGGCGCGCCCAAGCAAGACACACAGACCTGAGGACAAGGCCTGGACAAGCCCGACAAGGGGGAAAAGAAAGGGCCCACGGCGCGGCCAAACATGGACACACAGAGCCCGAGAAGGCCTGCACAAGCGGGAAGAGCCCATAGCGCAGCTAAGCAGGGCTCATAGATCCGGACGAGGGCCATCCACACAGTCTTTGATAAAGCCCGGACAAGGGGGTGAAGAAAGGGCGGACGGAGTGGCCACGGCTATCACACCAGCGCCTTTTTTCCGAAGAAAGAGTACCAACAGTAAACTGGTTGGGGAATGCCAACAAAAACACCCAGTCAATGGATAACCTTAGGTTCGGAACGCCAGCCACAGATACAAGGAGCCAAAATAGTTGTTTAAAGCAAAACAGAAAGAAAAAGAAAAAGTAAAGCAAACAAAAAAAGCAAAAACATGCAGCTGCACATGTTTGTTGCAGTTTTTTTTCCACTGTTCTTTGATTCGCTTTATGTTCACTTTGTTTGCTTTGTTTTCGCACTTGTCTCGCATTGTTTTCGCCTTTTTTTTCCCAGGAGCGTACAGCGAATATTGCTGACGGGTAAAAGTTCTCATAAGTGCAGAAGTGGTACCAGGAAAAAGAGCAAACAAAAAGCACAACGAATGCAAACACAAAGCAAATTGCGCTGCTTTAGCATGTGCATTTGCTTTTGTGTTGTTTTTTCACATGTTTTCACACACAAAAAAACACAATATTTGATGGTTGTTCATGTATGGCTGCCATCGCTGAATATAAGGCTAACCTTTCTAACATTTTGTTTGAAGGGGTCAGACACATAGCAGCCATATTTGGTGTGATTGATCGATCAAGCCGGCTCAGTTGTCCCATCAAGCTTAGAGCTTAGATTGGAAGGTTGGTTGTACTGAGCAGCTCAAGTAGCTAGACCTCTCTGATTTCTAGCTATGTTCGGGTACAGCTGAGGTGTTTCCAGAACAGACCTACAACAATGTTTGGACCCCAAGCTGTTCCCTGACTGATGAGTTGTTGCACCCAATCCCATGCCCTCGACAGATGCGGACACATGACTCACCATGTTTTGAACAGGTCCATATTTGTTTCCCATATTGGGGCAACTATGGTTTTGTAGATGAAATGTGCTGTTTGTTTGAGGTAATGCTATGATTATCTATGATTGTTGGACAGACGCTAGCAATCATAGCCGAAAGCCTGCTATTCACCAAGCTGGACAGGCACCCACATTCACCAAACTATGTGCAGATGGCATTGTGTTCAATCCTGGCATCCTAGTCCTATTCTTTCATTTCAGCATAACATATGTGTCAGCTGCACGTCTCTCACACCTTGTGAGAACCCAATTCAACAAATAAATTAGAAGATAAACTGAACAAACTGAACCTGTAGGGGCTCGGTTGTTCTCTACAACTGCGTATACGGAAGGCGGGCTCGTCACTCACCTCCACAGGTGGAGGAGTTTGTGATGGATGGCCCCGAGATTCCTTCGGAAACGGAGACGGATTTCAGTGGCCTGGGAGAGGCAAATGACCAACTCCCGCAACTCGGCCGCGCACAGTTCCGGCTGGAAGAATTGATGGAAGCACACACCAATAGGGTCGAATAGGGTTGTTTGGGGGGGGAATGATTTGTTTGACTTTGTGTTGTGTCTCTTGAGGACGGGGTTTCCAAGACCTTCACGAAGGACCTTCTCCTAGTTTCTTTGTTTAACCCCCTTACATGTGTTCGGGATGGGAATTGCGGTTGGAATGCACTTACCACTAGATACCAAAGATGCCTCACCATCATGTTTGGCGTCCTTTGGGGATCATTTTTGGAGTAGCTGGCCGAGCATGGACCAATGGATTCTTACATGGCCGAGGCTATGGGGATTATGGGATCCTTTGTTCTGGCCTTTAGCCAGATCAGTGTCATCCCTGAAGACTTTCTCTTGTTGGCTTCCTGGCTCACTTTGACCTACCCCTTAGAGGCACAACAGATTCAAAAGGCAAACCATCTCACTGCTCGGAATCGTCAATCGTTTCAATGCTGCTCGGGGCGTGGTGCCGTGAGTCAACAAAAATGTGTTGTTTCCTTTGAAAGCCTCCTTGCTCCCAGGAGCCCCCAGTAGCGCCTTTGCTCCTAGTAGTAAGGCCAGAAGCCCCTAGTAGCATCCTTGCTCCTAGTAGTAAGGCCAGGAGCCCCTAGCAGCGTCTTTACTCCTAGTAGCTACTTGGCCTCTACAATGGTCGTTGGGAACCCCAAATGTTTGAATCGTGTTTTGCCATTTGCGGTTGTTTGCCGTCGCACCTGCGTTCTGAAGTGCAGACCTGTCGGAAGAACCACACGAAGATAGTTTTGTTGGGATGCTCTTCATGGATCACCAAAAGATGGAGCACCAAAAACAGCTGCTATTTGGATCTATTTGGAATTAAGACGGTTAAGTGGAGGCATTTCTCTAGATTGCTGTAGGATGCCAAGTAGAGATTTGTTCTGCAAAAGGCCCAAACTTTGGACAATTTTCCACTTGTGGATCATGCTGCTTGCGCACTTTCCTTGCACCAATAAGGAAGACTGCAACAGGAATGTGTTTGCAGGTTCAGACCTTTATATTATGTTGAATGGTTTTGATTATGTCAATGTGGGTTAAAATTCTACGGTGCTGCTTCTGAGGTATCCCTCCCATCCCTGCTGTCCTGATGAGACATCCACATGATGCTGTGTGAGCGTTTGCCTCTAGATGTCTTGCTCGGGCAGTCTGATCTTCAAAGCAACTCACCAATCCCTTTTCACACAGAACATCACAGAACCTTTGGATTCCTAGTGAACCTTTTCAATACATTGATCAATATATATATAATATATATATATATACACATGGTTTATATTGTTGGGGTCCTGCTGATAGAGGTTCATCAACAGTGGGCCAGGTGACTTCTTGAATCCGTGCCAGTTGTATTCCAAACCAAGTCAGTGGATAGCCTTAAACCTTTCTTGGGACATTCCAAACAAGAACAGGAGGCGAAGGTTAGTCTTGTTTTTTGCAGGGAAACTGAGGGAGTAAATCAGTGGGATTGGACTCAGTTCGCGGCCACTGCCTCTCTGTTGGTTGTGTTAGTGTGTGTGTGTGTGCTCAAATACCGAAAAAACAATGGGTGCTGGGTGCATGTTTGCTCGTTCAGATTCGTCTTTGTTGGGCTCTCCCCCCAAAAAAATAATCAGGCAGTGAGTTTTTTGTTCCGGATGACATTTGCCTTGTCTTCCAAGAGCAATTTTGATCCAGTCAAAAGCCCTCAAAAACGATTCAAAACAACACGAAGAAGCTGGGCTCGGTTACCATTCCCTGAGTCTTTGCCCAACGATGTACCGGCATTTGGAGGTATTCTCCCACCATGCAGGTTGGTCTTCAATTCTTCAATCTGGTTTCACAGACATCGCAATGTGACCCGATGCCTCTATGAGTCTTCCAAGCACGGCAAGTCTGAGTAAAAAACGTTGCAAAGTAAAACCGAGCTGGAACCATTTGGCAACATTTAAGCCAGCTAGGTTTAGCTTCCGTATTTTTGTGGAATCAACTGAAGAACTCTGACTGACGTTGCGGAAGGATCGGATTAAGAGGCAATTGATCTGAAAATCCTGGATTTGTCCAGCGATACTTCTGTCTTTCAGGAACATGTCACTGCGGCTGTTTCAGGATCTACTAGAGCAGGACCATGACGACCAAGATGGTCAAAAGTCATTTGGGACTTTCCCGAAACCAGATGTTATGCGATCCATTGCTGTGCGTTATTCTGCTTGCTGGCAAATCCAAGCACTCGCCATGTTTTGCAGAACCGGGGACTGTGAGAGTCCAGGAGTCACTCCCACAGTAAACCAAGTTCTCGATTCGATTTCTGTGGGGTCCAAGTCTTCTCCACTTTTCCCGCCGCTTCTTTTTGCGAAGATGGCGTGAGGGGGTTGATCTCTCTCTCTCTCTTCCGCCGGGCTGCGCCTCACTTTTCCACGATGGGGCGCAGCTTTTCCTGCCGGCTGTTTCGGTCTTTTTTGCGGCGCAGGAGGTGCCACTGATGGAGACTGACCATGGCTGACCGCTCGGTCAGTCCCGACGACCGCTTCGAATCATCGGCGGTCCAGCCAGATGGCTTGGTCTGGCTGCGCTAGGGCGTGGCTAGACTATGCAGGCTTACGGTTTAGGTGGCTCGGTCCAAGCAACGCAAGCATCAGAATGAACCAAGAACTTATTTCCAGAATCCTGGATTCACGGCAATGCACACAAATTAATTGTGAATCTGAATGATGTTCAACTTCCGCTGTTGAAACGCTGTGCAAGTTGACATGATATAGCATGATACAATAGTATATAAATATATATTTATATATACTTGTACTGGTTCATCAACAGGTTGATGCTTGAGATGCTTGTTCTTCCTGAGTCTTGAAGCATGGCCACCGGGCCATCGTATGAACTGCAAACAAGTGATGCGATTCGAGGGTCCAGGGACATTGGGACAAGGAGGTGCTGTTAATCGATACACCACTGGATATACCATCAGTTGGAAACTCAGTTGTGATGCAGGGATACTGATACTTCATCAGTCTGGTTTTATGTCAACCAGTCTGGATACGGATCACTCCAATGCATTCGCTTTCCGTCGCCGTTCGATCACTCCACCGACGAGAGTGACGAAGAACCGAAGAACCTCGGTCTCGCGATCGAAGAAATTGGACCGGGACATGCGGCAAAAAGTCTCAGATTCTCCCAGTCAGACAGTCCCAGATGTCTCATCAATATTTATCAATGACTCGTCAACCTTCACCAACGGAAGGGCGTTCGTCCCAAAACTCATGCAAAGGCTCGCACCGCGCACCTGGCACCGGCACCACGCCATCGCCCGCATCGCTCGCATCGCGCTGAGATCCACTGGCACACCTGCGTGACACCAACGCAGAGATGGACTCCTGCACCCGACCAGTCGGGTGGGTCTTCGGGCGGCAACTGCGACAACATCCAGGGCAGTCAGGGTGCCTGGGGTGCGCCTGGGTACCTGGTGGGGGGCTGGTCCCTGCACCCTCACTGCTAGTGGAACATATATAGGGAGGAAGGATTTGGATGAAGATTTGTAGGTTTTGACGGCAGGAAGGATTAGATTTGATTAGATACTACTGGATACGGCCATGAGCATCAGTCAGTCGAAGGTCATGTGATGGTGAGATGGACAAAAGGCGGTGATTTGCTGAAAGTGGTCTCCGCACCTAGGTCCATTATTGACTGGTTTGGGTATTCATTGCAAACAAAGTTCTGACGCCATTAGGATGGGGTTTTGATCCATTGTATCAATTTGGCTGTGGGCAAATGCCGCAGTGGAGAAGACCTGTCGCACCCACCCAGTTGCCACCTAGTTGAGGAAGGCATGTGTTCTCAATTTGTTGTGTGTGTGTGCGCGCTCCATGTTTGGGTGAGGTAGAGGTATATAGTCATTGCTAACTTCTTGAGTTTTAACATCAAGTTTGACCACTCTCGTCGTATTATAAGTTTCTTTTTTAATGGATGACATGGTACTACTCCATCTGGCAAAAATGGTATGCACATAGTACTTTTATTATTGTTTATTCCATCATGCTCTTATTTTTCCAGCCGTTGACAGCTACCATGCAGCAAGAAGGGTTTATCAACTTGGTCATGCACGCTTCCGAACACATAACAACACAGAACCTTTCCTCTGTTAGCAGCGCTTGAGAAAGTGCTCAGAGTGCTTTTGTGCCCCACTGATCGTGGGAACGCCAACAAGAACACTGATCGAATACGGGAGCAATACTATACTCTGAAAAGATATATGTTCAAGGTGGTTTTGTTTTGACAATTGAAACATATCATATTAATGTCATATTAGCATAAATGCCCATGGCACGGTACTAGAATCAATGGGTAACTATATATATATGTATATTGTATAATGTTATATATGTATATTTTTTAATATGTATACATATGCTACGTCCAACGCTGCATGACACACACACACACACACTAATTTCCATACCCTCACCCGAGATCAAGTCATGACGGTCTACCATCAGACGGGCTGTGACATAGGCCGGATGCAGCAGATCCGGAGCGGTCGCCTCGTGTTCGTCATGTTGTGACTGTTAGTTTATGTTTGAAAGCAGGAAAAGATGTGGTTTTCATTGTTTTTTTGTTTTTCCGTTTGGGTTTGTCTTGGAAGTTGTTTGAGTGACGCAATCATTGGACTGTAATTAGTTCTCTAAGTCATGGTCCGCGAATTGGCCGAGTTGAAAGTCGGTGATGTTTGAGCCGGTTGACTCCGCAGTCTAGTCACGTAATCAGCCGAAGCCAAAGGCGAGGGTTCGTTTTGTTCAAAGGTCAAGCCTGACATCTCATGACATCAAAAAGGGTTTACCTGCCACTCGAGTGCAAGCAGTACTCGCAAGCAGTGGGCCCGCTCACTTACAGCGTGCGTCGTTTCTTCGTACAGGGCCTTTGATTCTGAAGGAAGGCTTTCACTTGGGCAAAGTGGGCTGGTCGGGTGCCCCAAAACGACGGAACCGGCGGCTGAACCGGGGATGGATCCACAAGGTGACAGCAGTGAACAACAGAAGTCTTGGAACCAACCCGTGTATATATCCGGGATGCTTGGTTTGAAGTTTAAAAAGCACACAAGTCGTCCAGATAGATAGAAGGCTGCTTTTGTTTTTCTGTTTTTTTTCTGCGATGAATTTTTCTCGATGCACTGATCGTTGGTCACCCAGCTAGGGTAAGGCCCTCCTGCTTCAAGCCGACCGTGTTTGTCTCATTCGATGGCTGGGATTGAAGATGTGTGAAAAGATCTGATGAACCCTTGACGCAGGGCTACCTTCTCGCGTTTTGTTTGTGTTTTCTTCTCATAAATAAGCGGCATGCGATTTGCTTTTCTATTCTAAACAACCAACAGCAACAATCCAGCTGCAAAACACTGAGGAAAGGCATGCAGATTCCAATGGCTAAAACAGAGTCCCCTGTGCGGGATGACTTTCTATCTGGTCCTTTTGCAAAGGCAAGGTTATATAGGCAAGTACCTCAGTGACGGGACGGCACCAGTCAATGAGAGTTGTAGTTGGTTGTCGTTGTCCTAGGGTTGGTCATGGTGGATATCAGGGTTGCACATACTTTGCTGTTGACAAATAAAACTGTAATTAACTTATATGTATACATAATATATACACATGATTTCATTGTCCCGCTCATGACACACATTGAGAATGAGGTCCCAGCAACACTTGATTTGCAGTTGATATACCAGCACAAAACAAGGAATTAATGCTCAAAGCCCTGCTGCTGTCACCTACCAGCTGTGCTACCAAAACCATCTAGGACCCCAGTCTTATGCTTCCCTCCTTCAGGTCGTCCGACGAACTCGTGTGACCAGTCTGGGAGTGTCTCCCTCTGCGTGGCACGGTCACCAGACGTGTCGGTCCATCAGGTGTGGTGGAGGCGTCTACTTCGCCATGAGCCCTAAGGCCACCGTGACCAAAGCGCCCTTCGGCGGAGTCGCCTGGGAAACCGACCGTGGGGTTCGGTCCATTTTGGGGACCGTGTTTTCTTCCTTTTTGGGGGGAGGCGGCAGGTGTGTTTTCTGGAGCGACAACTCAGGGCGCTTGGATGTTTGGGGTTGTGGATTCGGCCTATAAATACCGGTAGATATATAGATATGTGTTTCCATGATCATCCGATGTGTCGGGTAATTAGTGTTGCTTTGTGCTCGGCTGCTTTTGCTTGGATCCATATAGTGATTTAGAAAGGTCTACA